CTACAAAGTAACTGGCCTGTAATTTACATACTTGTCAAAGTTGTGAAAGCCAAGCAAAGCTTGAGAAACTGCTCCACGTCAAAAATTAAAGAAATGACAGGGGTGCCTGGGTGGCTCAGTCGGTTAAGCCTAGAACTCTTGATTTCGTCTAAGGTCATGATCTCAGGGTTGTGAGATGGAGCCCAATGTCCAGCTCTGCACTCAGCGCGGAGTTTGTTTGTCCCTCTCCCCTGGCTTGCTCTCTCTCTCTCAAATAAATAAATAAAATCTTTAAAAAAAATTTTAAAAATGACCAAAACCAACCCAAGAGTCTAATCTGAATTATTTTGTTATGAGGAACATGGGGGACATATGGGACAACTGGCAACGTCTGAAAGGATTCTGAGGAATGGATAATAGAAATGTATCAATAAGAATTTCCTTACTGATGATTGCATTGTGATGATGTAGAATAGTCTTGTGTGTAATGCGCACTAAAGTATAAGGAAGCGAAAGAACATGAGATTGATAATTTACTCTCAAAGAGCTCTGTCCCACTGGCAAATGAGATACCACAGCCTCACAGTCACCTGTGCTCAAGAAGGCTGCCCCTTTGATTCCACAGTTCAAGTCATTACCTCCCCAGGTTTTGCCCATCTTTTGAAATTGGGGGACCAGAGATACAAAACAAAAGAGTACAGGACCAGCGGCTGAAATATTTGGGTTTAAGTATTGGTTCTTGGCTTTTTAATGTGACGCTAAAGCAAAAAGAAACCCAGCTGCCTTCCCTGCCAAACAGTGACAACAATATCTGCTTCAAAAGAAGCAGGTAAAGGGGAGGTCCTCCACAACGTTATTATAATAGTAAAAATCTGTATACACAAAATGCCCAACATCTGAAGAACGGTCAAATAAATCATGGCACATCCTTACGTGTGTTTATAAAACCTTTTGGTGTCACGAGAAAATGTTCCGTAATTTAGAAAGAATAGGATCACACACAAAATAAAGATTAAAAAGAAAAAGATTGAGTTCGCAAAGGCTGACCCAACAACCCCGCAAAGAACTGTGCACCACACGCCTTCTTACTTGCCTCAAGCTCCTCTGCTACCACGCGCACCAAGCAATGCTCCTCCAGGTGGCCAGCATCCGCCAATCCCGCGGAGATCCAGGTCACACTCCGATGCGTCCGCAACACTCGACGAACACACTCCCTCCATAAGCGGCACACGCTGGGGGCGCAAACCACAAAGGGTTGTGAAGGGACGTTCATTTCCCTCTCCAGCAGGAGATTCCTGCGGGATCAAAAGCCCCAGAGCGGGAGGTGTCGGGGCGCAGATTCGGAGGGAGAACCGGGGGGCGGAGAAAACCTTAGGGCGCACCTCGCCCCTCCGGGAAGAGTCCCCGAGACAGGCACAGGGGTACGGTAGGCGTACCTCGCGGATGGGGGCATCACCTCGGGGGAGGAGAAGGGAGCCGGGGGCAGCCGTGGGTCCCGATGGTGTCTGCCCGCCCCGCCAACCAGGGCAAGCCCGAGGCATGTCCCGAAGTAAGCTTCCCGCCTCCTCTCTCCTCACCCTGCTACCCGCAGCAACGCCTTGGCGGGCAGGAAGGTGAGGACACGCTCCACCACCTCCGCTAGGTTACCCAACACAAAGGTGCTCTGTGGGTCCGCGGAGGAGCCTCGGCGATCACCACCACCATGATCACCACAGCCACCCACCACCTCCATTCCTCACCAACCCGCCGAGCAAGCACTACGGCTACTCGGAAGGCACTGGCGAGGCCGGCACCAGACCTCCCAGCCAGCGCGCACTGAGCAGGCGCGCGCGCCACTTCCGGCCGGTTGGGAGTGACTGGGCGGCTGAGACCCATCCACGTGACTCCAGGCCCAGCGGTTTCCTGCGTCTGTCTCGCGGAGGGCCGGCTGGCGCTGGGAGGTGGTGGGCTTGCGTCCGTTTATCCTTCCGGTACTTTCTAGGCCTCCTGGGGGCATAGATCCTCCTGTGCGTCTCGCTGTACTTGCAGCGCTGTATTCCTTTTTATTTATTATTTATTTGACAGAGAGAGACACAGCGAGAGCAGGAACACAAGCAGGGGGAGTGGGAGAGGGAGAAGCAGGCCTCCCGCGGAGCAGGGAGCCGGATGAGGGGCTCGATCCCACCACCCTGAGATCACGACCTGAGCGGAAGGCAGATGCTTAAGGACTGAGCCACCCAGGCGCCCCAGCAGCGCTGTATTCCTTGTCGGGACAGATCTCTCTCAGATTCTTGAATTCTAGGAGACCCAGTAGTATTCGTCCGTCCTTGCCTGATTTTTGAACGGGCAGTATCTGCTTTAAAAATAGCTGGCTAAGTGTGTGAAGATGACCACCTATATTCGACACCTAGTGAATGTGGTTAACTCAAGGTAGCCCTCACGCCCTGTGTGAAACGACATAAACAGCACCTACCACTGCTGTGAAAACTTGCACCAAACTGCACTAGTTCTTCATAGTAGCAACAGATTCACCGGTAATCATGAAGTTTCGGCTTTAAAATTTTTTTGAGAGAGCGCGGTTGGGCTCACAAGCAGGGGGAGGGGCAGACGGAGAAGCCGACTCCCCGCTGAGCAGGGAGCTGGACTGGACTCCAGCTGGATCCCAGGACCCAGAGATCATGACCAAAACTGAAGGCAGCCACTTAAATAACTGAGCCACCCAGGCGCTCTTGGCTTAGTTTTTTATTGAAGTGTAATTGTTAGTTTCAGGTTTATGACATAATTCAACAATTCTATACATTACTCAGTGGTCACCAAGATAAGTGTACTCTTTAATCCTCATCACCTAGTTCACCTATCCCCTCCCCCACCTCCCCTCGGGCAACCACTAGTTCTCTGTATTTGAGTCTTTTTATAAAATTTGTTCCTTTTGCTTAAATTCCCACACGAGTAAAATCACATGGTCTTTGTCTTTCTGACATATTTCACTTAGCATTATGTCCGCTAGGTCCATCCATATTGTTGCAAATGGCAAGATCTTTTTTTCTGGCTGAATAATATTCAATTGTATATAAATACCACTTCTTTATCCATTCCTCTATCAATGACACGGGTTGCTTCCCTATCTTGGCTATTGTGAATAAAGACTGCGATAAACAGGGGTGCATAGCTTTTCAAATTAAGTGTTTTTTCTTTGTGTAAATACCCAGTAGTATAATTACTAGATCATATGGCAATTCTATTTTTAATTTTTTGAGGAACTTCCATACTGTTTTCCACAGTGGTTGCACCAGTTTGCACTCCCACCACCAGTGCACAATTGTTCCTTTTTCTCCACATCCTCACAAACACACTTGTCATTTCTTGTGTTTTTATTTAGAGCCATTCTGACAGGAACAAGGTGGTATCTCACTCTAGTTTTACTTTGCATTTCCCTGATGATTAATGATGTTGAGCATCTTTTCATGTGTCTGTTGGGTTTTGGCACATTCTTGGTCCTTAACTCCAGGCCTACTGAATCCGATTCTGGGGGCAGGGCCCAACAGTCTGAGTTTTAATTTTTCTGTGATTTATGCTTTCCTGTTATTCTGATGCAAGTTCAAGTTGAGAACCACAGATAGAAGGAATGTAAGCACAGCAGACACTGCTGTATCCCTACTTAACATCCATTTCTCCTGCTGCTTCCTTACTAACAAAGCCCACATTTGATCCCCATCTCTCTTTTTTAAAGATTTTGACAGAGAGAGAGCACAAGCAGGGGAAGCGGCAGGCAGAGGGAGAGGGAGAAGCAGGCTCCCTGCTGAGCAAGTAGTCCGATGTGGGGCTCGATCCCAGGGCGCTGGGATCATGACCTGAGCTGAAAGCCGTCGCTTAACCGACTGAGCCACCCAGGCGCCCAGATCCCCATCTCTTGAAGGTAAACTTGATTATCTAAACTAGTGGGTCTCAAATATTGTGGCCTCAGGACTATTTCACATTAAATAATGACAACCCCAAAAAGCTTGTTTATGGGTTATGTCTATTAGTATTTGCCGTATTAAAAATTAAAACATTTTAATATTAATTCACATAAAATAATAAAACCAGATTAACAAAGATTGACAAAATAAAATTTTCATGAAAAAATAGCTATGGCCCCCTCATCCAATAGTGAACAGCTGTGGCATCGCTTTATATTTTGTAAACTTATAATTTCTGGCTTTAAAGAAGACAGCTGGCTATGCTTCTGAATTCCATCTGTTGTACCATCACATTGTGTGACCTCTGGAAAAGTCTACTGTACACTTGTAAGAAAATGAGAGTGAAAATGGCAAATGTTTTAGGAAAATAATTTTGACCTTCTAAAAACCTCCTGGAAGGGTCCAAGGGGTCTCCAGAGTTCCCCAAACATACACTGAAAACCACTGGTCCAAACTAATCATAATGATTTCATTCTTTTTATCAGCCACTAGGTAAGGGGTGGACACAAGCCCCAGTTCTAGCCAAGGAAAAGTGAGGAGCAATATGCTTGGGTGGGCGGGGGAGGCTTCTAAAAAACAAGACCATTATCTACCTCTGGACAGAGTAACACGGCTACACATCCAGACATAACATTAAATCCAAAGATGAAGCCAACATAGAAAAATCTCAAAGCAGCATAGCAGAGCCCAGATGTACCAGGCCTGGAGTTTTCAGACTTCAGAATTTCTTGTATGTAAGATAACTTGATAATTGTGTGTAAGGAGGCCATGGAAATACTAAAGAAGGAGCAGATTATTGTAACTGGGGGAACTAGGGACAGCTATGGAGAAAGCAGCACTTGGATTTATATTAAGGAATGAGAGCGGGAGAAGGAAAAGGTTGAGGAAAACCCGAGTATACCAAGTCTGTGCACACCATTTCTGGGTTCTCTAGCTTTCTCTTGTTAAATCAATCTGCCTCTGCTCCTCTCAACCCTCTCCTCACCTCGTCCCCCCATATATAAATCCTATTTCAAAAAAATTCACTCTTGCCTTCAGGTGTTTGTAAGCTCTATTATCTCTTATGAGGGAAAAGTAACAAAGTTATTTTTTAAATGGTTCTTTATTCATAAACTTGATGCAAGTTTACAAAATTTACTGTACATTGCCAAATAAATCTGCAATGAAAAATAAAACCCCCCAAAAAACAAAGCATGCCAAATGTGCAGCTGTCAATCTGCTAGCCATCAGGATATTAAAGAATTCAATAATGTATTCAAGATTTAGCCTTAGGTTTAAGGAATTTTAATGCTTTAAAGAATTCTGCCTGGTCACTTATTATCTCAGCAACTGGCAATCAGAACTTTATACAAATGTAACCAAGTAAACAAAAATGCCAGAAAATCTTTTTCTACTGTCCTCTTAACCAAAACAGAACAAAAAGAAATTAAACACACAATAATGCAGAAGTGCCAAGTTCCTCTGATGTGGTTTACAAAGTTAAAAATTGAAACTTAGAGCAAATGCATAGGAAACACTTTTGAATTTTGTAACTTGTTTGTGCAGAAAATGTGCTTCTGGATTTCATTTTAAAAGTGCTTAATAACTAGAATTTACTTTTAAATCAAATTTGGGTAGATAAAAAAAATCTATCACCAACCAAACAGGACTGATTCAGGTAAGGCAATAAAATGGAGGTACACTGATTTGCGTCAGGTTTTATAAAAGAATGAACATATGTAGAGTTCCTATTAGTCTTTCAATGCAAAAGCCATTGTTCGACTACAGCAAAAATTTTAAGAGTCTCCAAATTAGGTATCTTTTTGTACTTTACTGTGCAGCTTTTGCTCAAGGATTCGGTCTTTGTGCCAATCACTTTACAAGTTTATTAGTTTAAAAATGATTGCAACATCCCGTTAATAAAATGGAAACGTAAAATAAAAATGATTTAGTATTTTAAATAACTTCAAGCTCTATACTGCAGTTCTTCATATGAAATACTGAACCAACAAGAAGCAGATTCAGCCCAGCAAGACTCTGATGCCCCAGTGGAAATTACTACTTAATTTACACAGCCTTGCTTTGCTTTGCCTAAAAAGTACAATACAACTCAATTAAGAGCATATCTTCGGGAAACAATTCGCATCTTCACCTAGCCATAAAAAAGTTTAACAATTTAATAAGTAGGCTTCCTGTCATTATTTTGGCAATATCAAAAAATGGTTTTAACTTGAAAAAGCTACTGTTATTTAGAAGACCTTAAATTTTCTAAACCAATATTAAACATCAATTAAACTTTTATTGGCTCTAAACGGAACAGTATATTGCAAGTCTTCATAACACATGAGCTCAATATGGGAAAGTTACCAGAGTTGCAACTTCTGTAACCTGATGCTGACTTGTCTGCTTGACAGATTTTTCAAGAAAAAGAGATCATGAGTGGCCAGTAAGTGTATTTATCACAAAAAATACAGTAAAGGCCCCACTGCTCAGTCCAAGATATGTAAATGAGCAAAATGAAAAGGCTGTAACTCATACTGGATGTCAATTGACAGATTATCCACTAAAATATCTATTAGCTAACGTCTTCGGTACTGCTGTTATAGGGGCACTCAAAGCTTGTGTCTGCATGTTGGAAAGATTTTCTTTAAAGCAACATTGGTCCAAACATACGGCAGTCAACATATTTAGCCATCTTCCTTTGGAGGGGTGTACCAGCCTGAAACACAATGGAAAAAAAGTTAAAATACCTTAAGTCAGCTAGAAGAAATGGCATTTCACTTAAGGTTAGCTACTTCCTCTACTCATATTTTCTTGTTTAAACCTGTTGTAAAAATTAAACTTAAACTTGGGTTGGTGATACAGCGTTTTGATATGTGCACAACATAAAGTTATTTTCTATGAATAAATTGCACTTGAGTCTTCAACGTAAGATCTCTATACTAATCGAACTTCTAGCTAAAGATAATAGCATGGAACAACAGCCGACAAGCCAGGTTTTACCTTCCATTTCAATTGCGTAAAAGTAAACCTCACTGTAAATAACTATCCCCCAAACAAAATGTTGGCATTTTAAAAGAAGAAGAACCTGGACTATCAGTGGTATAATGATACCATTTCACCAGTGAGGAAGCACCTCAGCAAGTGTGGCGACTGTGCCTGGGATCAGAGTTAGCAGCAAAAACCAACCTAGAACCCATTTGCTTATTCTGAATCTACTGCTCTTTCTCCAAAGCTGAACTGATACACACCCACACTTTCTAAAATACATTTCCATAAACATTTTGAATGCCGACTACAATGTTTGCTCCAACAAAAATTAAAAAGAAAAAATGTGATTGTTTCCCAGGCAACAAAAATCTAAGCGCTCTATAGAAAGGCTAATGAAACGAAGTACTGCTTAGCATGAAATGGCTATTGGGAACAGTGTGAATATACCAAGATATATGGAGCATCCACATGGTTATGAAGTAGTATACAGGTACCTGTGGATCTACTAATTTAGTGTGCTGTGAATTATTACTATGAAAACCCAGCCTTGCCCTCAGGTTTTATCATTTCCTTCTTCAGAGGCTTGAACCGTTTCAAATATTATTCTTTCAGAAACAGTCACTGAAAAAGTGAAGAGTTTGGTTTGTGATTAAAATAAAAGTGAGCATAAAGCACAAATATTAAGTCACAAGCTACTACATTTCTAGTAAAGAACACTTTACTATAAATAGTCTCCTTAAAGAAAACTACTTCCTATTTATTTACTCTGCACAAAAAAGCATCAGTTTCACTACCATGGCTATAATGAATATCTTGTTATCAGTACTTAGTTACAAAGTGCCATGCGTATATACTATTCTTCTTCCTCACAAGTTTGGCAAGACAGATTCGCCTTTTTAGGGATGAGGAAACAGAGGCTGAGAAGTAATGGGACTTGCTCAGAGACACAGAGCTAGTGAGTAACACAAATGGCACTTGAAAAATCAGTCTTCTAATTCCAAATCCACCTCACTGTTAGAGACAACTGAAACCATGCATTGTGAATACAAGCAAAATTTAAAGTAGAATAAAGTTTATGGAAGATAGTTTAAGTTTTTAAAACTTACAACTCAAATACTCTTAAGTGTATATATACTGAAATTAGAACTATTTTACTTGAATAGATAAATGTGTATAACTGTCAAAAAGCATTAAGTAGTCTGAAGATGTTTCAGAAACAGCTGGTTCAGGATCCTGATTACACTTACTCAGTATCAACAAGAACTCCACCTGTACAATAGCCTTTAACTCAGCTCCTATCCTAATACCATACATTTCAAGTGAGTAAAATGATTCATTCATTAATGTATTAAAAAATCTTGACTCTCACTCAGGTTCTCAGGCCAAGTATTTAGGATACAAAGATTTTTGAATGAAGCACAGTGTGTGCATCCTCAAGTTAAACTTTTTCACTGTGGTAACAGTACTTTTAAAAAATTAAAGCAAAACCAAAAATAAACAGGATAAGTTATCAAAAGTACCTTATATAAAACTTCTATAAATGGTAATAAATACTTATTAAACGTACCATTTTTCTCATGTATCTGTACAATGGAATTATAGGATTGTTGGGCTCTTGCTAGATTATATTGATTCTGAAAGAGAATTATACATTTTAAATAAAAATTATAAGTAGATGAAAATCATTACAAATAATTTATGGATGCATCACCACTATGCTTAAAAGAACACAGGAAACTGAATTATATTTCCATTTCAAAAATAATTTTCACTTAAAACCTTCATTTCTCAATTCCATTATTCTCTACCACTTTAGAGTAACAAACCAAAGTTGTACTACAATAAAAATCTATTTAAGCTTCACAGTTCATTTTTATAAATCCTCTTGCTACTGGACAATTATAAAGCTTTATAGTTCTAGTGCCTCTCTCCACTGATGAATCTAGGTAAAGAATGCTATTCGGACATGAATGAAACTCAAACTCTCTTTCTCATAACTTCCATTGAAAAAACCCCCCCAAAAAAACCCAAAACCAAAAATCCCCCACAAAAAAACAAAAAAACACCCCACCAAAAAAATGACAAAATATGACCTTTAGATAAGGTAACATAAGCCATCTTGCCATCTTGAGTTAAAATCTAAAAAATATCCTAAGTGGCACCAAGGCATTACTAAAGGAGTCCTCTTTTGGTAGTCTCTTTAGATCCTCTTTTAAAGGACCAAATTTAGGATTAATTTTGTCTCTGTCAGTACAACTGAGCAACATCTTAACCTACAATATATCATGAGCATTCTTCATAGTGGCACACACCCATTATGTCATAGAATTTAATAATAAATTCACACAGCACAAGAATTGAAAATGTATAAAACATTCTAAGTGAAAATTCTCCTTCCTACCTGTCCTCCAATCATCCAGTTCCTCCTCTCATCCATCCTCCCTTTCTTACTCAAGTTACCTACTATTAGTTTCTTGTATCCTCTTAAGATTATATAAGAAAAGTCATGTATAGCTTATTGTTATTAGCCACCATCCCCTGCTTTTCCTCCCAACAAATGGTAGGAAGCATGCTACAGACACCGTTCTACCCCTTTTCTCACTTAATGTATCTTGGACCTTGTTCCCCATCAGTGTGCAAAAAGCTTAATCTTTGTTTTTTTTAAATCACGACATATTCCATTGCACGGAGAGTCAACTACTTTTATTAATCCCCAATGGGTGGACATTTAGGTTGTTTCAACATTTTGTTGTTACAATTTTACAGTGAGCAACCCTGCACAAATATTTCCAAAGCACTGGTTAAAAAGTCCTTGAGTGGAACTGCTGGGCCAAAAGACATGTATGCCTTTGTAATCTTGAGGTGTTGCTAAGACAGCTCTCTACAAGACCGCATAAATGGGCTTGCCTGCCTGCCACGTGTGAGAATGCCTCCACACGGCTTCACCAGTGATCTTACCAACCTTTGTTACCTCTGACAGTATCAGAGGTGGAAGATGAACATAGTGTGGATTTGATTTGCATTTCTATTACTGAGTGAGGCTGTCTCCAAATGTTCACAAGCCGTTTATTTCTATTTCTGCAAATGGATGTTTTATAACTTTTTCTAGAGTATAGCCTTTTTCAATTTTTTTTTTTTTTAAAGGTTTTATTTATTTATTTGAGACAGAGTGAATGAGAGAGAGAGAGCACATGAGAGGGGGGAGGGTCAGAGGCAGAAGCAGGCTCTCTGCCGAGCAGGGAGCCCGACGCGGGACTCGATCCAGAGACTCCAGGATCATGACCTGAGCCGAAGGCAGTCGCTTAACCAACTGAGCCACCCAGGCGCCCGCCTTTTTCAATTTCTAAGAGCTCTTTAAAAATAGTAAAACCCTCCCATAATGCATCTGAAAAACAAACATAAAACATGCCGTAGTGTTATCTCCAAGTTAATGAAAAGTAGTGTTTTTTAGTCGGTCTATATGTTCAAAGGACAAAAATACAAGAGAAAGAGATTATATATGACAAAATACACATACACTGAAACTTGCAAATGATCAAGAAGCAGTCACTTCCTAACCCTACTGCCCAACTACAAGATAAGAACAGAAAAATAAGAACATTAGCCTTCCCCATTCTCTGTTGTCAACAGCATGATCTTCAATTCTAGTTTAAAGAGAATGTCACTGCAGAGGCCTTCCTGTAACAGGGAGTTAGCCCTTTCCGTTTTCTACTTCCTTGACCTTATTAACCCTTTCCTTCCACTTTCTTTCAGCTTACTTGATTGTCCTTTCTAACACGGAGTTAGAGGCTTGGTTCATTTTTATTCTTTCTTTCTTTTTTTTTTTTAATGGATTTTAAAGCAAGGAGTATTCCCTGTGAGCTCTCATTTAATTTCTAGTATGCAGTGATTTCATTATTGCTGTTCTCTAGCTATTCTGCAGTTTTCATTTCAAAGCCTGGTTAAGGACTTCATTTGAGTTTCATAATTCCACAAAAGGAACATTTGTTTTCTGATTTTATTATTATAGTTTTTAATTTAATTAGGATCAGAGAATGACATCTGTCCTTTTCTTCATTGACCAGGATTAGTTTCATGAATGTTCCAGACAAAGAGAGAGAGATGATAGAGGGAGAAAGAGGAGAGAGAAGGAAACAGGGACAGAAAGAAAATTTTAGTATTGCCATTATGGTTCATTTCTAATTATTTTTAAAATTTCATATGATTTTTTAACCATGATTCAGAATTATGTTTAATTACCAAATTCACGTGGATTTTTATTAATTTTTTCATTACTGACTTCTAACCTTAACTGCATTGTATTCAAATTCTATGGGTTGTTTTTAAATATTAATTTATGATTTTTTCCCCATATTCCATAAATGCTTGGAAAGATGTAGTACCTAACTACTGGGCACAGTATTCTACTATTGTCCATGTGACCAAGCTTAATTTGTTATTCAAATCTTCTACATTTTTCACACATTTAACTTATCATGAACAGGTACATTAAAATCTCTCATTATGATGGTAACTTGGTCAGTTTCTCTTGTGCTTTCACCAGTTTTTAACTATAGTCAACACACGATTATTACTATATTAGTTTTATTTACCAGGTTTTAATCTGTATTTTGATGCTATTTTAATAAGCAAATAATTACTATATCCTCCTGGTTGAGACTTTTATCATTAACAACTTTTAACAACTAATGCTTCCTGCCTGAAAATTCTACTTTGATACTAATATGGCTATATCTTTTTTTTTTTTAAGTGTATACTGGCATTATCTTTATCATCCTCTCTCCTTAAAAACAAAACTTTTCAATCTTTTTCTAGCCTCACAATTTTTTTTAAAAGATTTTGAGAGAGAGAGAGAGAACACAAGCAGGGGGAGGGGCAGAAGGAGAAGGAGAAGCAGGCTCTTCACTGAGCAGGGAGCCTGATACGGGGCTCGAACCCCAGGACCCTGGGATCATGACCTGAGCCGAGGGCAGAAACCCAACCGACTGAGCCACCCAGGCACCCCTCTAGCCTCACAATGTAAACATACTTCTTAAAAACTGCTAGATTTTGCTTTATTAATTCAATCTAACTGGTAACTTCAGTCCATTTATACTTGTGACTTGCCTTTACCACCTTACTTTCTGGTTTCCATTTCTCTTGTTTTTTAAACATAATTTTTTTATCTCCTCCTGGAGTTCCAATAAGACATTTTAGACCTCAATCTGATCACCACCTCTCAACTTCTACCATAAGGTCTATTCCCATGTTGCTTTCTGTACAACATTCTGATTTACTTCTTCTAGCCCAGCTGGTATCTTTATAATCATCATTCTGAACTCTAGTTCCGATATCTTACTAATGTCCGTATTGATTAGGTCCCTGGCAGTCGTACAGCCTCTTGTTCTTTTTTTTGAGGCGAGTTTTTCCGTCTTATCATTTTGTCCAGAGGAGAATAGATGAATGAGAGAAAATGCTAAAAGGGTAACAACGACCCCAGAAAAACATACACTTCCAGAAAGTGGTTGCTTTTCTGTTCAGAGTTGCTGCTATTCTTTTCTCCGATTTCCTGTTGAGTTTGTAGGTGTTCAGAATGGTTTGATACCTATCTAGCTGAATTCCTGGGACCAGACGAAATTTAGGTCTCCTACTCCTCTGCCATCTTGCTCCTCCTCCTGATTTACTTCTTCTTTATTTATTTATTTATTTATTTATTTATTTTTTAAAGATTT